CCGACCCAAAGACCAGCTCCCACCACTGATGGAGATGCTGGAGCTCTCTGGTTTCTCCCTCCTTTGGTGCATCTCCAAGCCTGGGGTGAGCAGGAGCCTCATCCTGGTCCCCACCCTTCCCATCCCTTCCCACTGCCCTGGTGGGGAGCTCACTTGTTCAGGGTCACCTCCAAAGCCTCCTTCTTGCTCCTGGCTTCTTGGATGCGGTGCCTCATCTTGGCCAGGAAGTCCTCCAGGTTGCCCAGGAGCTGGGGTTCATCCTGCCGGAGCTTCACCCAGAGCTGCCAGATCTCCTGCCTGCAGGGAGGGGGGTGCTTGGCGGGGAACATCCCCCTAGAGCCCCCCAAAGCTGGGCCAGGGATGCGGTCCCGGATCATTTAGCTCACACCATTCAGGACAGGTGGTCCTTGGGGAACATTGGGGTGACCACGATCCTGTCCCTTCACTTGGGACAAAGGCACCTCCAAACCATTCCTGAGCATCCTTGGCTGCCTTGAGGGCAGCACCCTGCCCTGCCCCAGCCCTGCTCCCTTGGGCAGCCCTACCCCAGCCCTCAGGACACCCAGGGGCCTTACTCTTCAGAGGCGTTGTCTGTGCCCAGCTGGTCCATGAAGGCTCTGAAGTGTCTCTGCTCCTCACTGTCCACCCCTTCCAGCACGGGGCCGGGCAGGACCAGGCGGACCCTCCTCGAGGCCGTTTTCCGCCGGTGCTGGGCCCTGGCAGCTTTCTGGGAGCTCAGGAACTGCCCTGGGGACAGACACCCCCAGACCCTCAGTGCCCAACCAGCCCACACCCCAACCCTTCCCACCCCACCGCTTCCACAAGCACAACAAGGACCCCTCTCCAGGGGCTGAGACCTGGGCTTGGGGACACTTGTTGGGCCACCGTGTGCCACCCAGCAAGGGCACCATTCCAGGTGCCCCCGGGGCAGCACCGAGGCCACGAGCAGGAGCAGCCCAGGGTGCAGCGAGCGGGGACTCACGGAGCCCAGCAGTGAACTCCTCAGTGCTCAGCTGCCCAGTCCTGCTGGTGTCCAGCCCGTCAAAGAGGAGCTCCAGCTCCTCCGTGCTGCACGGGACGTCCTTCTGCAACTTCTGAGGACAAAACACACCAGGGAATAAAGACCATCACCCTCCATCACCCCATCAACCCGCTGGGGTTGGACCCGAGGAGACATCCCCATCCCTTACCTGCATGTCTGAGCGGGTGACAAACCCCGCCTGGTCCTTGTCCTGCTCCTTGCAGAATTCCTGCACCCTCTGCATTATTTCTGCTGCCCATTCCAGCTCCTCAGCAGGCCCAGGAGCTGGTGCCAGTGCTGGTGTCTCCCCAGAGCCCTCCCGGAGCTGCCTGCGCCGACTGGAGCCCAAACGCCGGCCCTTGGCTGCCCGGGGCTCAGCCATGGCTGCAGCCCCTCCCGGGACAGCTCCTGGGGTCCTGCCTTGCTGGGAACCTCGGCTGTGGAGGGAGGTGCTGGAGGAGGACCCAGCTGGAAAGGAGGTTTTGGTTAGGGTGAATGGGTTGGGCAATAGGAAGGGAGATGCTGAGCCCTGATTGTGGGGCACGAACGGAGCTTTGACAGCAGCAACAGCTGCTGCTGCCCCCAGCCCAAGTGTCCTGTCCAAGCCCCCAGCCCAAGTGTCCTTTCCACTCTTGGCAGCTGGGAGAGTTGGGGTGTTCAGCCTGGAGAAGAGAAGGCTCCAGGGAGACCTTAGAGCAGCTTCCAGTGCCTGAAGGGGCTCCAGGAAAGCTGGGGAGGGACTTGGGACAAGGGCAGGGAGGGATGGGATGAGGGGGATGGATGAAAAGTGGGAGAGGGAGATTGAGGTTGGAGATGAGGAGGGAATTGTTTGGTGTGAGGGTGGTGAGAGCCTGGCCCAGGTTGCCCAGGGAAGCTGTGGCTGCCCCATCCCTGGCAAGGTTGAAGGGCAGGTTGGATGGGGCTTGGAGCAGCCTGGGATGGTGGGAGGTGTCACTGCCCATGAAGGGGGATGGAACTGGATGATCTTGAAAGTCCCTTCCCACCCAAACCATCCCATGATTCTCTGAATCACTCCAGTCAGTGCACACATGGATCTCCCACCAAGACCAACCAGTGCCCCATATCCTCCTGGCCACCTTCCACCTGTTCAGCTGGAGAGGAGGAGACTGAGGGGGGATCTCATCAACCCTTGGCCCAAATCTCCTGCCCAGGCCCCCAGCCCAAATCCCTCCACACTCCAGCCTGGCCATGGAGGATGCTCAGAGCCCCAACACAACTCCATGGCCACCCAGGAGGTGACACAGCCAAGACGTGATGCTGGCAAAGGGCCAGTCAGGATGATGCAGGAGGCCTGAGCAAACTCTGGTGGTTCCACCTGCTTTCTGGGAGCTCAGCAGCAGGTTTTAAAATCCCTCCCCCTGGTTTCACAGCCCTGAGTCACCTCCTTTGAGGTTTGCAACACGCCTGCGTGCTGCCTGCTGGGTTCTGAGCTCAGGACCCTTGCCCTGCTCCATGCTGGGTGGGTGCCAGTGTCACCACGGCCACCAGAACATCTCCAGGAAGTTCTTCTCCACATAGCAAAACCAAAAAAAAAATGAGTGAAGGGAACCACAGCCATGGAGAGCTGGGACATGGAGCTGGGACTGCACTCCAGCCCTTTTTGCTCCCATCCATCCATCCATCCATCCATCCAACCATCCATCCATCCATCCATCCATCCTCCTGCCCCATGTCACATAAAAAGGTGGCTCTGCCAAACCCCAGAGTGCCCCAGAACATGGGAACAGACCCCCCAGAACACCCCCTGAAAGCAAAAGGGCTTGTGGAGCTGCTGATGTCCCACAGGACACCAGGACTTGGGAGTAGAAACCAGGTGCCTTGATGGGAGTCCCAGCCTCTGAGATAGCAGAAGATGGAGCTTGGGGAGGGGGCTGAGGGGGGCATTTCAGGCACGAGGAAGCCCCCAGTGACCTGCCCCAGGGGGGGGAGCTGAGCCCAACACACAAAAGAAGGGCAGAACAAGGTGGGGGGGATGAGATGGGATCCCTGTCACCCCCAGTCCCCCTGACCAGGGCCTCCCCACCTTTCCCCCCCAGCTCACCAACAGTGAGAAAACCCCCCTTCTTTTCCATGCCTTTCTATTTCCTCAAGGTGACACAAGAACCATCCCTGGAGCAGCAAAACTTACCTGTCCCGCGTGCCCCAGAGGGACCCTCAGTTTCAAGGGGTCCAGGAGGGGTTCAGGGGGTTCAGGAGGGGTGTGGGTCTCCCCCCTGGGGCTGCCCTGTGCCCCAGCTCCCTCTCCTCTCTTGCCCAAGGCCACTTCCCTCGCTGCTCACACGCTCAACCGCCGCGCGCGTTTCCTGTTTGCCACGCTACGAGTGGGGTGCAGGGAGGGCCCTGCCCCCCCAAAAACCTCCCCCCAGACCTCCAAAAGCAAAGTCACCCGCCTCCCTTCCTCGTTGGTGAAGGTCCAGCCGAGACTGGATGGGGTTTGAGGTCTGTGTGTGTCATCAGGGAAATGAGAAATGTTATTTTTAGAGTCTAAAGGACCCAACAGATGACACAGATGAGAACATCCTACTAAAGGCAGAACAAACCTGAAACCTCCCTCCACTGGAGGCCCTTTTGGGCCTCCAAAGATTGGAGATCCCACCCCCCCATCCTGCTCTGTTCACACTGAGACTCTCCTGAGGTTCCTGCTTGAGTTACTGACTCAGCTTTAAGAGCAGCACCAAACCCACCTGCTGCTCCTGATCTGCTCCCACCCTGTTTGCAAGGGGCCTTGGGAACTGGGTGGGCCATGGGGATGGGATGGGCCTTGGGGACTGGATGGACCTTGGGGATTGGATGGGCTTTGGGAATTGGCTGGGCTTTGGGAATGGGATGGACCTTGGGGACTGGATGGGCTTTGGGAATGGGATGGACCTTGGGGATTGGATGGGCTTTGGGAATGGGATGGACCTTGGGGACTGGATGGGCTTTGGGAATGGGATGGACCTTGGGGACTGGATGGGCTTTGGGAATGGGATGGACCTTGGGGATTGGATGGGCTTTGGGAATGGGATGGACCTTGGGGACTGGATGGACCTTGGATGGACCCTGGGGACTGGATGGGTCATGGGACTGGATGGGCCACGTGTATTTTCTGCCCCACTTCAACTGCAAAATGGAGTTTTGCAGGAACTCCAGGAAGGAGAAGGAAAGAAGGAGAAGGAAAACCCAAACTCCTCTCTCCAGGTTCTAACTAGAACGGACCCCCAGAGGCTCCCGGCATGAGCTGGAGCCCCAGGTCCTGGGGCAGGAGCTGTGGGTGGGGGTTGGTGCCCAGCCTGGCTCTTCCCAGCTTAAATCACTAGTGGGAACTGGCTGTGCTGGTGCCCTGCCCTGTCACACCCACCCACAGCCCAGCCCTGCTCGTTTGCTAATTAACCTAACGAAGCAGCAGCCAGCTCAGGGGCAGCCTGGGGAGCAGGTCCAGGATCTGCTGCTGCTCCTCTGCTCTCCCCCCTTTGCAGAAACCCCCCCTGAGATCACTTTTGTCACCACTTCTCACCACCCCCAGGACAGTTTGCTGCTGCACCCAGAAGGCTTTGGGGGATGTTTTTGGGTGGGAAATGCTAAATATTCCCAGGAGAGCCCCTGGGTTGATCCCCCTGCCCAGCAGGGCTCCAGCTGCAGCCTGTCCTGGGTGCCAGGAGGGCACCATCCAGCCCCACAGCACCAAGGGCCATTTCCAGCCCTGAGATGGTGCTGGGCAGGACTTGGCAAAATGGGATTGAATATGGAAGGATAGAATTGGTTCTGGTTGGAAAAGAGCTTTGAGATCCTCCAGCCCAACAGCTCCCCCAGCCCTGCCAGGGTCACCCCTGCCCCGTGTCCCTCAGCACCATCTCCAGGGCTTGGAAACCCCTCCAGAGATGGGGACTCTGCCCTGGGCAGCCTGGGCCAGGCCCTGACAACCCTTTCCAGGAAGAAATTGTTCCCAAAATCCAACCTCAACCTCCCCTGGGTAACCTGAGGCCCTTTCCTCTTGTCCCATCCCTTGTTCCTGGGGAGCAGAGCCCGACCCCCCTGGCTCCAACCTCCTCTCAGCAGCTGCAGAGCCAGCAGGTCTCCCCTCAGCCTCCTTTGCTCCAGGCTCAACATCCCCAGCTCCCTCAGCTGCTCCTCAGAGGTTCTCCAGACCCTCCTCCTGGAGCTCCAGCCCCTTCCCCAGCTGCTGCAGGGAGGGATGTGGGGGGAACCCCCAACCCCCTGCCCTTCTCAGCTGTAGGGGAAGGTCCAACCCCAGGACCCTCCT